TATACAATCTGCGAATCAATGTGCAAATGCAAATCTAATATGTGCATATAACATGTGACACTTATATTATTACATATTGCGCAAGTTTAGAGTTACCATTTTTAAACTAAAATTATGTAACTGAAGTTTCTCTTATTCTGATCTCCAAACCTACAATATTAGGTATTTAACTACAGACTATTTGGAGCCGATTGAAGCAAAGTCTAACAAAACGTTCCTTTTTTCACTTTTTGATCTTGATTTCTTATTAATTTCATTATTTCATCATAATATACATATAATATTTGTTTGACTATTCCGCATCATAAGCGAAATATTTTACCTTTTGTTGGAACACGTATTGGGCTTCCTTAAATAATGGAGAAATTCCTGAGTTTCTCGAGTAATAACAGTCAAGCATTCCGACTCTGTAATATCGCCCTTCCTCTCTCAGCACCTCTTACACTACCTTACATTTTACTCGCCTTTACTGTAGCACCTTCGCGTCTTTTGTCAGTACCCTCTCGCGAGTACAAGCGCACCCTGCACCTTCTTTACTTCCCGTCATGGTAAAGCCTTTTGAACCGGCTTTACGAGAACACTGTCTTGACAAAGCATACAAAATATCGTTTTCCTAGCTTAAACATTTCGGTATATTAAATAATCAATAATGTCGCATTTTCCTAAGTTTGCTTTTTGTACGTTTCCTTCCACGTTTTACTCACTAACAATTTACCTCGTTATTCGGTGAATGAAATACTTCCGGTTGAAATAAGGCTGAATATACATGGCATATATACGAAATAAAATGCGACGCGTCTCTTGTATACGCTCCACAGCTTGCGACGTAAACGAGATTTACGGCACCGCCTTCTCATTCGCGCCAAATATTGAACCGTCTAAAACAATAAAAACAAGATTTATGACGTACGATAAATTAACCATATCTACGTGAATATCACCTCACTACGAAAACTCTTGCGTATACCTACTCTTAGAAAATATATGTCGGAAAGCCACGCTTTATCCTGCCGAAAAAGAAAATGTGAGGATATAGAATTCATAGCATTTTCAATCTTCAAATTTTTTCCACACATTTTCTTATTTATGTTTTATATAAAGAAATGTGTGTGTGTGTGTGTGTGTGTGTTGCTGATGTGTACCTATGTATATGTGTTTGGATGTACACAGCAATTTACAAAAGTTATAATTGATGTTGTATGTAGAACATTCTAAAAAGAGAAATCCTTTAAGACATTTGTGCGCAGTAGTTCTAATCAACAAATAGTCAGACTTCAAACAGACATTATAAGATATAGATGAGTGTTTATAGATTAACACATTAAAAATTTGCATAATTATAAATAATATAAACTATTAAATTATAATATTTATAGAATAGGTACTGTACAATCGCGTTTCTATAACAAGAAATATTTTTTTAAATATATAATTTGATTTTTAATTACAAATCTTATAATTTATATGTACGTTAATACAAATATTTAATTATAATACGTATGGACAATTAATAATTTAATTTAGTATATGTCGAACCAGTTTAAAAATTACAAACCAGTAATTAATAACCAGTTTAAAATTACAAACTTTGAATTTAAATTATTTAATTTATTTTATATATTTATTTTATCGCGAAAAAGTTATAAAAACAATATATTTAATTTAATAGATTTTTTTAATATAATTGTACATCGACTGTATTTAAAAAAAAAAAGAATTTTTTTTCTTGAAAACATTCTTTATGAGATGTATTCTTACATAAATAAAAACGAGTAATAACAAAAGTATAACTGAGACAAAATGATAATTTTTCTACTTCCAAACAATTATGGATGATGATGCAGTATCCTCGTAGTTTTCTATTATTCATGAATGTCATAAATCATGATTAACAATACATCACAAACTTTTATCACTATCTACTTTTTTATCATTTTTTTACTATCTTTAACTACATGCGAAACCCAATTGACTATTCACCCAGCTATTCTCTTTGGATATCGAAATCCTTTGTTCATCTGTTCACGCTGTATTTTATTTCGCAGGAGTCTTCTTTGCATTTTCAACTACTCACGAATTCTCGGAACTGCGTTAGTTGCTCTTTTATGGTGCACTTTACGGTCTTTGGGAAGAAATTCAGTTTTAGAAGAATTCTAGGACGTACCGGTGATTGTGCGAAGCACTATCCTTCTTTTCCTTTCCGCTCTTTGCTCATCGATAAAGCTGGCATGAGCAAAATGATTTGCACCGATACAAAACGTCGCGAAGAAGCTGCCTTCATTATGTCCAATATTAAAAGATTCATTTAGGAAATTTGAAAATTGAAGTGTACCAAAAGGTGGAAATTAGTTAAAAAGATATAACCTTTTTTACTTATTATTCTATTGAATATCAATTATGAAAAAATAAAAATGTAACATAAAGCGGATGGAAGTAATAAATTTAGTATGAAACGAAGCAAAGGAGTCCCTTACAGAAATTTAATATTGAAAAGATCAAATAATTATTTTTATTAAAAATTTTAGTGCTTTTTACATTTAAAATAAGTAATTATTTGACTCTTCCAGTGTTAAATTTTTGTAATAGATGTAAAGAATATGCAAAATGATATTAGATTATAATTAATAAGTACTTTATATTAAATTTAGCGAAATTATTTAACATTTTATTAGACAACATAAAGCTATAAGAGAGTTTAGTTAAAATTGAACTGACAATCCGAAACTTATTACAGAATCTAACGAGAGTGCCTATATATTGCATCCACAAGATCGATCAAGAGATGGGAATTACTTTCCCTTTAATCACCGTTCTATCGGCTATGAAAATAAAAATGCTGCGGTCGCAGTGACTGCCTCTCGAGAGAATTTCTGCCTCGCACACACTTTGGCTACTTTTTTCCTCGAGCCGCACGGAAGCGAATCGGTTCGGAAAGGTGAGAGGCACGTTGGCGTGCGCGCGCGCGCTTCAGAGAGTAAGGTGTCCTTATAAAGAGCGGTCGTAAAGTGCTGAACGTCGCTTAAAGGGTCGTCTTCGGGCCGCTATTACTTCGAGAAGAGCACTTTGCGCTATTACCAATACACGAAACATGACGAGCCGACGGGAAATAGAGTCGAAGGGCGGAGACACTAGCTATCTTTAAGTCGGTTCTCACCTCCAGAGCTCGTATGACGAAAAATGTTCTTATTCTCTGTTTTATTCTCGATTCGCCTGTTTTACTCGTGATCCATACTTGACTCCGTACAAAAGCGTCACGCCATTAAGAATATCACGTAATATTGTTTCAATAGAACATAGGATTTAGCAAATTTGATCTTAAAAGCATTTTAATGGAAATATTTCTTTGATAAAATAAAAATAGACTTCTACTCTTTCATATTAACACATACTCTTTGCTTGTGAAGAGAATTGAATATGTTCATATGAATATAGGTATACAGTAGAATTAAAACAAAGTCAAATTAATTGAATTTAAACCTAATGCATTCATATCAAATTATTGATATATACATTTTTTAATATTAATTTTAATAGAAATAAAATTTTAATAGAAATAAAAAAATTAGAAATATGAAAAATTGATAGGCTGTCAGACTTGTTCAAACTATTTTTAAAGTTTAATTTAATTTATTTTGTTTTTAATAAGTTATACACACATTACAAGATTAATTACATTAATCGAGTAACAATTTTTTACTAACAGTAAAAGTTACTAAGTTATTAATTACAAACTTCAGGTTTCTCTTATTAATTTTAATTAATTTTGTTTCCTCTTTTATTAAATTTGTAAGAAATAAATTTAGAATTAATAAGAGAACCCTGCAATTATTAGTTTATAATTAATAACTCAGATAAGAAAATTATTACTTGATTATTATTTGACATTTTTGTATTAGGATTTTCGATTCTTAAAATATTTTAAAGAATCTGCATTTAAAAGGAAAAATTCGTTGGTTTTGGGACACCTTATTAATAATTGTTAATCTTTTTCACAGTGTCTACACTAGGATTTTCTATTACGAAACATGACGGAAATGATACATTATGAATCAATCATTCAAATTTGATTGGAAAATTGAAATGTGAGAATTATACCTTACGTTATGTTAACGAATTTTCGGATGGATTAGTTCGTGGTTTAAAAAACGAATCAATCTTACTTAGGAAACAATACCGTATATTTTGCCTCCGAGACACGCCTGGGTAGATTATTCAAAAATTATTGCTTGTCACTGAGAACGTGCATCGACTGGATGCTACGTGAAAGTTTTCGCAATGTTTCGCCCTTATCCAGGACATGGATGGCAGGCGATCAATCCTTATGTCGGAAGCTCGAAGAGTTCTATCACGTTGGTGAAATTGATTTAAAGACCGCGTCGTAATCCTTTCGTTGAGAAAACCGTCGCCGAGTAGCAAGACTTTCATTAATGTGAAATAGGCAAAGTCCCTCTATAACTCTATATAATGTTGTCGCGCGCACATTTCCCTAGTGCATACAAATTGCTTTGTCTTGGCAGCTATTTTTCTCGCCCCGACCAGGACGATCGAGGCAAATACGTTCGGCAGAATTTCCCTTTACGACTATCCTTTACACCATCTAATCCTCCTCGTAAAAGCCAGCACTGTGGTAAGGCGCGCAGCCTTCGTTTGCTATAGAATGCCGCGAGGAAGAGTTGGAGAAAAGCTTCAAGATGTTACGAATAAAAGGAAGAATCTCGCTGAGGTGAAATTGAGACGAGATTTCAGCACGGATTTCGGCGGGAAACAGGAAATCAGACACTCGCGTTGTCGAGCTCCCAATAGCGACATAAATTCGATAGATCGCTCATTGCAGCAATCATTGTCAAACGAATATATAACATAATATATAATAATATAATATTTTGAGCATACATGTATATCATAACTTTTATCTTACTTGCTGCGATAAACATAAACGACACATTCAACAAATTGATATTTTTCAATATTGTTGAAAAATAAATGTGTTTATTTTTCAGAGCTTACCACAAACACCAGCTGGTGGTACTGGTGGAAAAGCAAGCGCGAGCAGTACTGGTTCAAGCGCTGGAATGGTCAATGGTGCTGGTGGCGATCATGAAAACATCCGGGACGGTGCTGGCATAGATACAGAGCTCGTAAGTATACAATTCGCAGTTAGATGTATTTGTGTAATTTTATCTTACTCGTTATTTGTTAAACAAATTATATGTAAAATTATATTATTAGTTGCAATATTATTCGAAATCTTATATTACCTGTCAAAATTGAAATAACAATTAACAAAACACATTGCGCACTTTATATTTAAATCTCTCGCGCAATAACCGGTTGCATAATTTTTCAAACTTTTTTTAATACAATACTATTATAGATGTTGTAACGAATTGTAGTTACAACTCCTTGTATTTCTTAAACTTGATTTGACAAGTATCTTTAATTGCTCAGTTAAATGGTTAGGTTTATGAATTTCAGCAGGCAAAACCATCGTCCAGTAACGAAATGAAAGTAGAACAAACCATTTCCTTCCTTTGTCAATAACTCGGAAAAGTTTCTTGCAAGTGTGCCACCGCGACAAAAGTTTTATCATGGCAAAAGAACCGACCAACAAAGCGGCTATTCGCTGTGCTGGGTGCCATTGTTTATTTCGTTTCACTTCAGTTCGAGCGGACCCCTTTATTGCTATAACGTATACGAAGTAGGGATCGCGGGACTGTTCAGGCCGAAAAGGAAAAGAATGAACAGAGAACATGTCGTGGAAAATCATCGATTACGCTTGACTTAAGTTATCTATAAAAACTCTACAGCTAAAATTTGTTATCATTATTATACGTGCGAATATACTGCACGTATTTTGTTATTAAATTTATTATACTCTTGAGTTTTTTTGAGATTAAAATAAAAGTTAACAGAAATTCGTCCTGAATTTACGTTAGACAACAAAATCGGAATCACGTGTTGGTAATGATGATACTAAACTTATATTAAATAGTATATAGCTGTATAAGTATTTTTTGCTCAGTTTTTGTCATAAGAGAATAGATAATCTATGCATGAGAGGATTAAGAAATATTGCATAACATTATATGCATAATAAAATAAATTAAAAGGCAAAAAGAAAGGGAAACAGCAAGATTCCGGAAAGTATGCAATACGGGATCTAACCAGACAGTAGGAGCTGGAATTCAGGAATTAAGCGATTACTTCCGAAGTTAACCATTGTTCCCGGCAGTCCATCAATCCGCCTCTCCGACGATTCTCCCTATACCGTTTTTTCGCACGTCGATCCATTCGTACGGAATTAAAACCGTTATCTGCGTCCCTCCACCCGCTTCACCGAGTTCCGAAAAGCAGAGGGATGGGTAGTAAAGACTGGATGAGGGTTGAAATCCATGGGCGTACGTCGGACAAAAGGGGTGCAGACAGAGATGGAATCGACTAGTCGTCGGCAGATTCTGCAATCTAACGATGTATATGAGATTTCACCGATACATCACTACTATTATTGTTATTATTATTATTATTATTATTATTATTATTATTATATTTAGATTTTCTAAAATTATATTTTTAGTACTCAATTAAATCGCTCGTTATTGTAAAACAATATACAAGCAATATTAGGTAAATCATCAACTTATTTCTTCATTGTTAATTTTGAAGAAATAAAGTTAATTGCTTACACCTACATTGCTCGTCTTGGCTTATTAATACATTATTATAATATTTTTATTTTATTACGTTTATTATCTATATGTATATCTTTTACCTAAGATTGAAAAAAATATATACGTATATGTACAATATTTATAAATGATGTAGTTTGTATAGCAAGTGCAATCTTGCACAAAAATATCTTCATCATAATGTCTAGTTTTTCTTCTAGACGATATTTAAATATTCGTAATTGTGTGGGTTTTCCTCTCTAACTGATGTTTTAAAAAAATTGAATCTTTTTAAATGTAATGTATACGTGTAACTATCGAAACTTCTAACGATACTCTTTGCGAAATCCTAATAGATTGCTAGGTCGATATTACTCTAGTTTCATGGATATTTTTAATCAAACTTCCACGGCAAAAGCTCACGCCTACCGTGATTGTTCGTTCCGAAATGTCGGCGTAACGATAGGCGTCAACAATTTTTTCATCGCTTTCCCCATTTTCTCCGTGCTCTTCCTCTTTTCCACCTCGGTCGGATTTTTTGCAATTTTTTCGGTGTCTATCGATTTACATGCGCCAGCAAAATCGACAATGCTTACGTCGTTTGCTGCGCTCGTCTAGCAGTTTATAATCGAAAAGCGGTGGGATGTGAGTTTCGGTGGGATAGCAGACCAGATGAAGCCGGGGGGGGGGGCAGGTTTTATTGTGCTTACTATGACTCGTTGTCCTGTTTTCTAGATGTTCCGATATATCGAAGCGTCTCGCCTCTCGTGGCCATCTTTACGTATTTGCGTATTCATCTCTGCATGCTCATATGACAGAAGTGAAATTGGAAACGCGATATACAGAGATCTACAATATTTATATCTCGCATATTCTCATGTCGATATATGTAACACATAGCATCCAGAAATCGCAATGTGTTCTTCTTTGTTCTCTTTCCAGTAAATAAACAAACACGATATATACATATATATGTATTTGAAATAAAAACCTATATATATGCGTAAAATTTAAGAAGACTAAGAAAAAATTAATATTGATATTTTAAACATCTATGTTTTAATTGTAATCATATTAAAAATTTGCTATACGTAAATATATTACAGAATATATTATTAAAAACATAGAATATTATTTTGTACGTATTGTATAGAACCGTCTATGTGAAAAATATTTAATTATTACTTCTTTTTCGCAATGCTAATTTATAGTTTCCTCATTTTACTGATTTTGCGCGAGAATAATTGTCAGCGCATGCCCACAGGGATCATATTTTGATAGCTCTAAAACATTAAGTAATTGTGATTGATTTCTATACTTATATATTTCTTTGTAAAAAATATTAATAAAAACCTAATCAGAGAATAGCGCGATGTCTAATACAAATATTTTTAAAATTTAGAATAGGAAACACACACACACACACACACACACACACACATTCTGTTTAAAAATCGAAAACATTTACTATTTATTTAAACATACTGTGATTATTAATTGAATTGTGACGTTAAATTATATATTTACAAGTCGTAAAAATAAATACGAATTAAATTTGAATAATGTGTATGGCCGTAAAGTTTTCTGATATATGTAATTTCTTTTACAATATGCACAGAAAATCTTCTCTTTAATAGTTTGGATTTAATAAAAAGAATTAATGTTCCTAGGATTAGTCATCCTTTAAATTTCTCGAAATTTTTTTGTTTTTTTTCTCGATCGACGGATTTTGTGAGCGCATTTAGGGACGACACAGACGAATCACAAGCGTAAAGGTCTATCCTGCGTGTCTTGTAGCAATTCTCTGCAGCAAAGAAACCAATTCCGTTACTATTATGCCACCAATTTATTTTCTGTCTTATCCCAAGTTATACTAATCTTGAAATCTTTCACAGAAGTGAACATTAGTGCCAAAGTAATGTTTAAGCGAAATAATTATTCATAAATATTCAATGTGACTTTTTAAATTTTGCGCACAATTTATTCTTCCGGTTTCACTCTAACTCGGGAAAAAGATAGGGGCAGAAATGGAAGAGAAATTATCATTGTTTGTTATATTCGTGCAGGCAAAATCAAGGAATCTTATGAAGATACGTACAATACATTCGCTAATGCGGATTGTTCCGGCGCTCGCATATTTGCTTAATTAAAAGGTAGATTAGCGAAATGTCTGGCTGAAGTTGCAAGTAACAATACGCGCAGTATTGTGATTATGCAAATTTCTTTAATTTCTCCCGAGCCATCTGCGACGAGCGTTAATGTCGCGTAATAAAGGAACCGAGTTGTGGAGAAGAGTGCTTCTTATCCTGCTTGCATCGAGACTTTTTTTTTTTAATTAAGAGTTCCACAACTATGAACTAATGGACATTCAGAATACTACACAAAAATGTAATCTACAATGGTGTACATGAAATGATAGAAAACTTTTAATATTTAGACCAGTAACCAATGAGTATGAATTCTTTTGATTCTTATTGTTAGACATATTTTTTGAATTTATTTTTTTTTCTTTTCATAACTCTTAGAGACAGACAATATATTTATCTTATGAAACGCTAAAAAGAGAAAATATAAAAACTTAAAAATCTATTTAATTGTTATACAAATTCTTTATTTTATAAGTGCAGTTTTATTCTCCAAATTGTATGATCGAAACTTGGAATATCAGAAACTTGATCTGTCTATTAGAATATAAACTTTTTTTTTAATTGTTTGTTTTAATATTTACATTTAAAAGTGTTCGACATATTCCATATTCTTGAAAACAGTAGAGAAAAGCAATTATATAAGTGCTTGATGTAATGATGTGAGAGGCGTGAAACGTTTTATTAAGTCGGATACATAAAAATCGCAGCTGGCTAATATAGAGTAGAAGCGCGTTTGTCGAAAGCAGAAAAGAATATGTGAGAGATGAAAAGGATAGAAGAGAGAAAAAAAAAGAAGGCCCGGCGCGGTATAACAAAGAAATGCACGGTAACGCAGGGGCTTTGAATTCACAACCCTTCCCTTTACCTCCTCCGTTATTTTCTATCTGCCCAGCATTATGCATTTTTCTTTGCCTATATCACGAAAAACGTTGGTAAAACGTTTCATACTCGCATTCACAAGTGGCCGCGAATCCGCTTTATTAAACCCTTCAAGCGCTCGAGAGCGCACACGCGAATTACTGGTATTGTAACGCGGTAACATTTGATAGAAGCGATAAATACATGGCTAAAGAAGATATTTCTAATTAGAGTAGGAATAAATGACGAGAAGGGGAGTACCGTTCGCTTTTAGAAGAAAGAAAATTAAAATATAACAAGTGCACATAACGTGATGCAAACTTATGATATGTACATCTACAAAAGGTTCTTTTACTATGAAAGTTGGACAAATGCATGCATTATAATATATTGTTTGATTTAAAAATTGCAATATTTGTTTTAAATGGCTTTGTCAAGAAGATATTATTACATAAAATATCATAGTTGTAAAGCGTTTTATATTTCGAACTAAAAGTTAGTTATTACGATAGGAAATCATCTCGCAACATGCAATTTCTACAGAATAAGATCATGTTCCCCTTCTTTTGATCGATGGAGCCTCCAACTATTTTGAGGCCTTCGTCGTAAGACTATCGGATTATTCCATAAGACGGTTTACATTCTGCAGTCACTGCAAGGGATAACGTTTCAGCGATGTAATACTATGCTAAATACGCTTCGTAACGTTCACATAATCCCAGGATATCCAGATCTTGGATAGGAAGAATGTTACATTGCCGGAGAGATAAAGCTTTTGTTGCAAGTAATATGCTTGAATCATAAATCACAAAGAAGTAAGCCATTTATAAACTCGTCCTTGTTTCATATCTCGTCCACATTATTTCAACATTCTCCTAGTTCGAAGAAACCAATGATTTTTATAATTCTTTTGTTGGACGTAACGCATTCGTACAAATTCTTCGGTTTTCGACTTTTTTTTTCTTCTACAGGCTCAATTTCTTTTAATATAGTATTTAATTTTTCACGAAATACAAATAATAATTAGATGGCTTATTGCTATAATTAATTTATTGACACATTTTTATTAAAATTATTATTTATTTTAATTAAATCTTTTTTCATTTTGCGCACGTGCGCGCGAATAAATCTACATCAGCTTTAAAAACTTATATGATTATGATTATATACAATCATATATGTATAATCGTATTTATTCCCATGTTAAGGATGTTATTGATTAAGTTTATTAATATAAGAATTACTTTTCATGTATGCGCTTTTACCGCGTTTTCCAATAAGTACCACAGTTCATACATTTCATTATCTCATTAATAAGCCACATAAAGCGAGCGAAATTGTATCACAGATGTTAAAAGCTTTATTCAAAGTACAAAGAAACCTCTCAGGGTGGTGTGCGTTCTTTTCGTTTTTTTTTTCGTTTGATTAATCCCGCTTGCAAAATGTTCCCGCACTTTGTTCCTTAGGCTTTTGCATTTCTGTCCCGTAAGGCCTTAAGAATTATAATTTTTCTTTTTTTTTTAAATAAAATTGAGTTAAACTTCCCATCAACCTGCGAGAAACTTTATCCCGTCCTTTTTGATCCTTCTAATTTTTCATCAGCCTTAGGATTAGTCTCTACGAGAACAGCGTCGCTGTTTTAAGAGAAGTGCTCTACTTAACTTTTTATCATGTCTGATTTTCTTCACGTAAGACCTTTCATCCATAGTTCTTTGATAAGTTGCTACTTAATTGTGCTGTCTTATACGATGTATACTTTATCATTCGAGGATTTGTCCAAAAAATTTTTTTTATCGTCAAATAATAAATTATTATTTTTAGCGTCACATTTTATATAAGATTTTATATAAAGAATAGAAATCGATAAATAAAGATATTTATTATGCACTGGAGCTTTATGTAACAAAAAAATAGCAAAGTATTTGAATATTATCACGTAACAACATAAACGTATACAATGTTCACTAAAAAGAAAAAAAAAATAACAAGCTATGCAAATGAAAATGTATATAATTGTGATAATTTTGAATCTTACATAGCGTAGTCTGTTATTAATTGCAATATGATTTGTAGAAAGAAGTATAATTTGTAGAAGAAAGAAATAATTTTATTACTTGATGTTGAAGTTGCTTAAAGAAGATTATGCAGTTTAATTTCTTTCTGAAAACAAACATAACCCGAATTGAGAATACAGAAAAGAGAAACCAGGAGCAACACTAGAGTATTCACTTTGTTACCAGTTACTGGAAAATAGGTAGCACGGATGGAAACGCTTTACGACCTGTGGAAACTTCGTAATAGTACCGTGCCGTTACGACCTCCCGCCCTCCGTTTCAATAAACTAATTGAACCTAAAACTTCTCAAAGCCACGTAAAGTCCTAGTCGAACAATATTCATCCGCCATCATAAAATACCACATCACAAAGGTGAAGTTAAAGCAGCTAGTGACATTTATTAGAAAACGATTATGTGAATAAAGTTTTAAATAATATCCACATCTTTTGAGAGAATAATGATATTCATAAAAGTTAACAAGAAAATACACATTTACTATATTAACTTCCAAATTATTAAAGTAATAATAACTAATCTAAAAACCGTTAATATTTATATTATTCATTAATGTAGAAATTTTATTTAAAATTTTTATTAATGGAAATTTGATAATTTGAAAGTTATTGTACTATTTAAAAGAGAAAATGTAAGACTGATATTTTCCTTTTTTGTGTGTGAAAATTACACAATGCTTTTGCAGTAAGAATTTCTAGCAAATACATGCACTAATTGAAGACGTTTAAACTAAAACGAGTTCCAAGAACAAATTCATTATTGTGTGTGAAATAAAATTATCTTTAATCAATCAAAAAACTTCAAAGAGAAAAAGACAGAAAGACAGAGAGAGAGAGAGAGAGAGAGAGAGAGAGAGAGAGAGAGAGAAATTTGGGATAATGTAGTACATGTGCGGTTGAGGTAGATTTTCACACTTTCGCATTAACCCGACCGAGTGTTGGCGTTGAAAGTTTCTATACCGCTCGCGAGTTGAAGTGAGAACGTTATCTCGTCGAAGTTGCATTAACGGAAGTTAAGCTTAAGCCATTTAAATCCTTCGTGCGGACCATACAAGTTTATATCAGTTATTCGAATGTTTTCAAAATACATCACGATAGTCATGATAGATGATAAAAATAATGATACGTATGTACCTATAATATGAGCAGGAATGTAACATGTAGAGAAAAAAGACCTTCTTTATCAATTATCAGTTATTATAATAAACAATTATAATTGGTCACGCTTGTAAAATATTTGATATCCATCTTATTAGTCGCACAATTGATCGATCATTGACTAGATATATCCGGGAATATAATAAACTTGTCTAGAATATTTTCATTTGTATATCTATCATATGTAAAGCGCAAATTTATATATGCATTACCGGAATAATATTGCCGATTACCATGATAATCGGATACATCAAGAACGTCGTTGAACGGTCGTTTGTGGTGGAAATATTACCTCGTCAATGTCGCATTAAGACGCGATAAGTTTAAGTTGGAATCCAATTTGAACACCCGACAGCTTGTTAGAGCTTACCTCGGCTGTGAGTGCAACTTTGACGAAACGCAGATTTAGCATTCGCCAACTTTGAAACGTTCTAACTCAAAAGCGCGTTTCGCCAAGGTGTTCGACAGTACCTACCAAGCGAATTCTATATTCCGCGCACGTATCTATTCATGAAAGTCCTGCGTACGGAGAACATAATTCAAAAGTGCACGATGAAAAAAACTAAAAATTTCGAAATTATTATTAGCTTGTGACGCGTATTTATAAATATTTATGTTATATTTAGGATATTTATTGCATAAATGAATCATGTAAATGACTTACATCAGCATTGATTATACATATATAAACAATTGATAATTCAACATATACTAGAAAAAAAATCCAAATTACATTAGTGCAATTTACATGTATATTTCTAAACATTACATTTGCGAGAATTAAAACATTTCAACGTATGCTTTGTAATCTTTATAATCTTACAACAATTAGAGAAATAATACTTATAAAAATTACTTTTATTGCTTTTATTGCTTGAATTATAATTTCCCAAGATATTTTTAAGATTGAAAGAAAGAGAGAGAGGGGCTACATTCTGCTGAAAAATAAATCTTTACAGACAGAAAATTTGAAGGCAAGAATATCATTTAAAATATTTTAGGATGTTTTAAAGTGTTTTAATATTTAAAAAACATTATTTAAAATATTTGCTAAATTATATTACTCATAAATTATTATTATACCGAGTCTATTGCAAATAGTAGACTAAATTTACAGCATTTATATTATCGTGTTACTGTACCAAATCAATCTGTATACTGTTTCAGGCTTTGGTGTATCGAGATGGCAACCTCGTCTCAGGCTCACTCGAAGCGTTAGTGCAGCATATGGTGCCTACGGAGGAATATTATCCCGATCGGGCGTATCTCTTTGCCTTTTTGCTGAGCGCCAGGCTCTTCATCAAGCCACATGAGCTTTTGGGCGAAGTTTGCGCTCTCTGCGAGCATCAACAAAATCTGAATGGGGAGGGCGGCAAGGTGAGCATCAGCATACTTTCGATCTGCGAAACGATACGAAGTTCTTTACTGAACAACCATGAAGTAGACCGTGTATTGTTATTTATCACAACATCCTCCTCTGACTCTTTTGCTTCTTTTACTTCTGCAATTTTTTCTTTTACCTCTATCACGAAATATAGAGAACACAAAAAGTTTTGTATAGTCTCTCTCTCTCTCCCTCTCAATCCCTACTCTCCTCCTCTATTATTTTAAATTTAAATAAAATTGACTTTTTTCTTTAATCAAACAGTAAATTCAATTATTAAAATTATTTTCTTTTAAAATTGAATTGCGAGTATTAAAGCAATTTTTACAATAGATAGATACTACTACCGCGTTTTTTTCTATATATTAATAGAGTCTACACATAACAATATTATTTTGAAAGTCGAAACTAATCACTGCATGTTCACGTTCATATGTAAAATATCATTCCAATATTCTCTTAATGACATTAATACTTTGATCTCGTTCTCATCACTTTAATATTCACATTTCGAAATACATTTTGTCTTCTAAAAAATTACCGTCGTCATTGGGAAGCAATAAAGTATCTGTGTGTATTCCAGGAACGATTGCATCGCTTCGTGCCGCGGCTGGTACAACTGTTAGCGGAATGGACGGAAACATTTCCGTACGATTTCCGGGATGAAAGGGTGATGGGTCACGTTAGGTCTATCACGCAGAAAGTCGCTGCGGTCGACGCCGCGGCCAGGCAGGAAGTTTCGGCGCTGCTGCAAAACTTGCTGCTACGACTGACGGCTCTGGAAAGGTACGAGGAAGGCCTGGCCAGACTGGCGACCGAGGCAGCGACGGAGCAGCTTACACAGGTTCGTGAGTTTCAGTATACAAGCACCCATTTGCGGCCGTCAGCTTGCATTTTGCTGTCCCGCTTCGGCTTAGTCAGGGGCTCAGCGCGACATTTTCCAAACTATAGGTATCGCCGATCTCTCTGAGATTGTGCGTTCAAAGTTTATACACAATGATACTCGTAAATTTTTTTATTTGGAGAAAAATAGAGAGCAGTATAATAATAATCAGCGACGCACAAATCACAATAGTACGATGTTTAAATAATAATAGAATGTAACAACAAAAGCTTTAATTTTGTAGAGAAATTAACCAAAATAATGCATCCGCAAATCGACACGATAAGGCATGACTTTTTGTGCTAACAATACATAATTTTCTATTGTGTTAGGATAACATTTGTTTATTTGTGGAACATAACTCTTGTTTCGCGTAGTAGATATACATCAACCACATTATCGCATTAATCTCATAGTTAGATTTACGCGTTTATAATTCGTATTGAGATTTTCTATGTAATTCATATTATGGGTCTTTATAACTGAATGTAACAATAAGATAATAAGATAATAAGAGAAAGAGTGCTAGTGCTCGGTCAATCGCGCATTGACCTGCCGTGCGCCGCGCCGCATTGTTCCACAATTTCAATATGGATTTTACTCGCGTAACCGGCTTGCCATGTTGCAAAGCCCGATTACTCGGTTTACCGTAATCGCATCGACCCTTCGAGGACTTTCAGCATAATGAAGCGATAATATTCTCCCTCCGGGTAATGCCCCGCCTCTCTTATGCATTCTCTCCCACTTCCGTTCCACACATGGATTGCTATATCACGACTGCTACGATACATAAATGTCGGTGTCCCCGTTCACATCCATGTATCGTACACATACGCATCCCGAATGAAACGCACAAACTTGGACGTCCACGTGCGCGTACACGCGTGCACTTTGCGCGGTTAGTCTAACCCTGTTAGGACAGTTTCCATGCCGGGAGACGTTAACCATTCCGTTAATTTGATTATCACGTGCCTATCTGCCGCTTGTAACACCCGCTAATAGGTAATTTGCAGCTACATTAGTTAGTTAAATATACCGGACGGTGTCATGTGCGGCTAATCAGTACAAAATTATATGGCTACGTGCCCGGTTGAATGCTGCGTGGGTCGTTTCGCGTAAATGTACGAAGAATTACGACGATGTTGGAAGGTGAAATTTCTATGGGAGATGGTGTGATAATACTTTTACTATATATTTATAGATTACAATAAATCTTAATACTCACGCACAAGTCATATTTTAAAATTCGTTGAACATCAACCTTATGTTGATATTTATAGAAAATACAATAACGTGTTACGGTGTATGTTAATTATATTTTCATTAAAATTTTCTTACTTACAATTAGAACTGTAACAAAATTGGATTGCAGAATCATAATCTTAGAACTTACACCAGAAAAAAAGTAGAGATTGAATTTGTAGAATTTGTTTTAAAATATCGCGTGTTTGTAATTATTGTTTGAAAGAAGCTTACCTGTTATATATCCAAATAGAGATAACGTCAAATTATGAACACGAGAAATATTAAAGTTAAAAAACCTTTTAATATTTTCGAAAAAATTAATTAAATATTTTAACATTTAATATTTTTAATTGAACATTTGAACATGACATTAAAATTAATTGAGTATTTTTACATAAAAATAAAATTAATTTTACATTTTTAAATGAATGTAATATTTCTATATTGTATGATATTTTTAAAAGCATTTGTCTTTTTGTTTGATTTTCAGATTAAAACTAATTTCAACTGTATATCAAAACTCATTTTGATTAATATAAACTTGAAATATAAAAAGACGTACTTCTATGTCAGTGATAACTAGTTGTAAATTTTAAAAAGACGTAGTATAATACTACGTTAATGGTAATCAACTACAGATTACAGAAAGTGTACTATGTGGTTGCGAATGCGTATTAAATTTTAAAATTTATTTTTATTTATGCATCATATTTATGTAAACGGTTTAGAATGTGCACAAATTTTTTTTATTCTGAATCAGATTATTCTTTAAAATACTATCATTAGACTGACATAAACGATGGATTAGAGGAAATCTATACTGAACTTACGTATGTGTACGCAATAATTCTGCCATGAATACGAAATAACTGTATTTACTGGATAGGAGTAAAATTAGGTATTCATATGTTTAAAACGAAAATTTCTATTAAACCTGCAAGATAGAATTTTCAGCGAGTTCGCTCCAAAGAATATTAAACGATATTTACCGATTGTATGGTAAATGTTGCATAATTTTAATAAGAAAATAAGACACTTTCAAGCATAAACAATTTCTCAAATAACGCTAAGTTTCTCTTTCTTGGAAACCCTTAACATATACACATCGATTTATGTAAAATGGAATAAATATACGATAACAATTTTTATTATCTTTTACGACATTATCTTTTCTTATTGAACGCTTTATATAATTTTTGTTCCTTCTAACAATTTTTTGTTTATACAAAAATAAAAAATGATACACATCTTTGTGATCAAAACTCAAGTCTGCTCAGCTGATTCATTTGATGACAATAATCACATTTATTAAAATTTTTTTATTGTTGTATCAAAAATTGTTTATATAAATAAAAGACATGATGATCATTTTAGACGTAATTACTTTAATAGTTTTTTCAACGTATGTGATTCGTAATTTGCGTGGAGATTACTTATCTCGGGTTCCAAGAAAAGCTGGAAAGGAAAGACGAGAGCTTATATAAATAAAAAAAGAAACATCAAAAAGAAGAAAAGACGAGACAGAAAGAACAGATCGAGTTCGTGCGAAGCCTCGGCTTATTAAACCGCAAATTCGCTTCAGCGCATTTTTCTACTTGTTCTGTACGTGTTACGATGACAGCAACTCTACGTGGAAACTAGTTACAACTCTTGACACCAATATCAGCCTTAATATTCTCTCTCTTTCTTCTTCTCCCCCCCC